AATTTTTCAGGATCTTCTTCCCTTCTTTAAACTGGTCCCCTGCCCGGTTCCATAGGTGGCCGGGGAGGGGCAGGGCCATGTGACTGTTCTGGCCAATGGGCTTTGAGAGAGGCGATATACGTCACTTCCTGCCTGACACCTTTAAGGGCGTGGCTCTGATTCTCGATGCTCCTTCCCAGTCATGTGGACTAAGGATGCTGCAGATCCAGGCGCAGCATAGGAGTCTCCGTCAGGCCAGACTGGCACTGCCCAATCAGATAACCAGTTACCACATGTCACATGCATTTGAATGTAAATCTAAATAAAGAATAAAACATTCAGTTTCTCAGGCATGTCATCACATTTTAAGCACTCAGCAGCACCACTATATGGCCAGTGACTATAATGTTGGGCAGAGCAGATATAGAAAAAGTCATCATCACAGAAAATTCCACAGGACATTGCTGTTTTATATGGCTAAACAGGTGCAGAGAGAACAAGTGCCCTGGAGAGGGTTCTCCATGTGTTAACCCACTGAGATTCGGATTTCGGGTTTGTTTATTTCCACTGAACCCAGTCTAGCTGGACCCACCAGATTTCTTCCCTCAGAAAAGGACTTAAAAATCTCATCATGTAAGTTCTCAACCGGTGGCGTAACGCTGAACCAGAACTGAGAGCTGAAGATAACACCATGCAAACCCCAGTATGAGCTGAGCTGGTAAATGAGGCTAAGGTCAAGGTCCATCAAGTCTTAGTTGCTCACTGGTGTCTCTCTGTGGTTTGCCTCTACCTGGCTTAGAACTAAACTGCCCAACAAATGTTTTAATAAGAAAACAGAATCATTAGAAACAAAGAAAGACGAGAAGGGCTTTTGTTTCTTGTTGCGATTGTTAATGGCTATCTAGAGGCTTTTCCCAGATGTCACTGGTATAGATCCGTGGAATACAGGCAGTCTCACGAGTCATCAGCATTTGATTTAGGGGAGGATCTATTTCATTTCTGTCCTCCTAGAATGAGCAGCTCAAGGTTTGCAAGTTTACCAGGTTAGAACTGTATTTGATTTGAAGCAAGAGGCTATCAGGAATTACAAAAACACTGAGGGTTCTTTGGCCGTGAGGCAATCCAATGGTCTTCGTGTGACCTGCTGCTGTGGAGGTTACAGAATACCATTGCCGCTGACTCAGCATTTCCACTCCTAGGTATGTGTCCAAAGGAACTGAGAACAGGTGTTCAAAGACATGCTCACCAATGTTCACAGAAGCATGTCACAATAGCCAAAAAAGTAGAAACAACCTAAATGTCTATCAACTGATGAATGGATAAATAAAAGGTAGAGCCGCCATTCAGTAGAGTATTATTCAGCCATAAAAATGATTGAGGCACTAAGTCATGTTTTCTACCTTTATCTTGCATCTACCTACCACTTCAGCATTTTATTAAAAGAATAATAATGGAGAAATGTGGGATTCACATATAAATCAAGTATAAAAATCAAATGAATAATCGTATCTGACTTGATTGTTTATAGTTCATGATGCGTGATCAAAACCGAAAGTTTCTGTGATATGACTGCCCTTGTACTGTTCACCATGGAAGAACTTATTCACTACGTAAGAACTTGTTCACCATGTAAGAACTTGTTCGTTATGCTTCAGAAGATTGGAGACTGTTGAGAATTAGGCTTGGGGTTGATTAATGATTGTGCATTGCGTCCCCTATACAGAATTTTATTGTTGTTAACAACCATTTGATTAATAAATATGAGAGATGCCCTCTCAAAAAAAAAAATCCAAGGGGTACCATTCCCAGAGAATACAATGTGAATTATACAACTTAGGGACCCTGAGTCAGTAAAGTAGAGGTCTAAACTCTACCACCTAACAACTACCAACTGTATCATCTTAATCAAGTTATTGGATCACATATTAAAGTCTCAGGTACCTCACCAGTAAAATGGGATTAATAAGCAACATCTCTCATAGGACTGTTATGAGGATTAAATGAAATAATGTGTAAGTGTATGCATGCACACATATGTAATTGGTTCAGTACCTTTCTTTAGTGAGATGTGTTTTGATGATGACGACGAATCTATATTCTAATCCTGCTCCACTTTCAGATCATTTACTATCTGTAACAAATGTGATTTATTGAGAATATTCAACAAAATTATATATGCAAAACACTTAGAGCCAGGTATAAAAAAGGACTATAATAGTAGCTATAATGATGATTCCTGACCATCCCCTATACCCATCCCCATTCATTCTTCCTTTCTTTTCTATACACACAAACACATGCACATACACTTACTATAAAATTCCATGAGAATAAACTAAAATTGATAGCACAACCCAAAGCCATATCAAAATGTATATTCTAAAAATAATGCATCCTCAATATGATTCACCTAGACTATTGTTAATATCTTCCCCTTCTAATCCTATCTATAAAATATTGCCAAAAGCAAATTTCAATAAATCACTATTTAGCTCAGAAGACTTCACTGACAAAATAGTCAAAACTTCTTTGCCTTAAATGGTCTTCCACGATCTTAACACATGCACATTTTAAACTCCTCTACCACTGCTCCCCTTAAAACACAAAAAAAGATTTGTCCTGTGTATATGCTTAGCATTTTGCTCAATTGCTTAAGGAATATTATCTTCTTCCCCCCAATATCTTCTAAGTCCTACTTAGTATCAATAATCTTTTCAACTCAACAAATCAATTTGAAGAAGTCATTCTGCAGGCAACTTACAGTAATAAAGACTAATGACAGTCATACTCTTAAAAAAAATGAATCAGGCACTGTTACATGCTACATGGATGAAACTTGAACACACTATTCTGAGTGGAAGAACCCAGACAGAAAAGGCCACATGTTGTATGATTCCAGTTAAGCCTGGGCGAGTCCATAGAGTCAGAAGGCAGATTAGTGACTGCTCAGTGCTGATTGGTGGAGGGGTGCTAATGGGTATGGGAGCTTCTTTGTGGTGATGATAATGCCCTAAAATTGACCATGGTGATCGCTGCATACCTGTGGATATAGTAAAGCCACTGAACTGTATGCATGGAGTGAATTGTATGGCATGTGAATTACATCGTAACAAAGTTTTTTTTTTTAGTATCATTTCTGAGTCTGACTTTTCCTAGTTCTCAGCCACTTTTCCTCTTCATGCACTAACACGCCTCCCCCAGGCCTGGTTTCAGAGCCCCCAACTTAGAAGCCTCGGGGCTGAGACTTTGCGTCTGGACGCTTCCTTGTGGGTCTAGAGGATTTCCTCTCCTCACCCACATGCCCCGATGGCCAGGCTCAAATACTCTGACAGGGAGCTGAGGTATGATTAGGCCTGACCTATTTGCCCCAACATTTCCCGGAGTTTTTCTCACAGGATCGTTAGAGCTCCCAGTTCGCCAGGCTGCGCTTACGGTCAGAGCTGTCAAAACAGAAATAAGTAAAGGCCTCCTGTTTGGAGGCCTTTTATATACCAGAGAATTTTATACAAATGAAATTTTGTTCATGTGTTTTCATGATCTGAATCGACTTTTTCAGCATAGATGTCAGATATAAATGAACCACACTGACATCTGAAATATCTATTCCTAATTTTGAATTATCTATATTACAGAGCTACCAGGACCTACCCTTTATTAAACAGATTAACAAGGAAGTTTTTAAAACTTTCCTGATTCATCCACATCTTCAGGGCCCCTATCATCATCCACAATCAGCTGAGGTAGACGTCAAAATGGAATTCTTGGAAAACAAACAGGAGAGGTCAGTTTGTTCAGAAGCAGGCCAACAGTGGCCAGACTCCTCTTGCAAACCATCTTGCTACATTAAAAATAGTAAGTGGGCCTGGGCCTGTGAGACATCTGGCCACTTCCCACCAATGGAATATCAACATGGTAGCTGGTGTCGCCTGAGACGATTCCAGCGCAGCAACGGAAGGTGTCCGAGCTCCCCATCCTCAGATGGGCGGCTCTCGCAGCTGACCCAGAGGCAGCACAATGTGTCTGCCGCCAACTCTGGTCGTGAAGCTTCAGCAGCGATGACACTCCCTCATCTTGCTAGGGGGAGCTAATCAAACCCAACCAATTCCTAATTTGGGTTTAGCTGTCAAGTGCTAAAGCCTCTGCTCGAGACCCAAGTCCCCTTGACTGGCTTCAACCCCGTGACTTACTTCCGCAGCAGATGGACTGTTAGGAGTGACACACACAAAAGCCTGGAAAGAGTGCGCTCTTACCACCGCGGGGCCACGCCCACCAAGCCTGGTGCCCAGGGAGTGGTTGTGCACATGCCAGGGCTCCTACCCAGGGAGCCACGCTCTGGCAACTGGGGTATCTCGGGGCACTTCTAGCCCGCTAGTGGACCCACAGCCCACCTGATGCGGAGGGAGAGCCACAGGCCCCGGCGCTCTCCATAGAAGCGGCGTCCCATGGGCCCTCCAGTTCAGGTGGACACCCTCATCTCCATCTCCTGGACCACGGACTGTTAACTGTGGTTAGATTGGGCCTTTGAGGAGGTAGTTAAAACAAAGCCCTAATGCAATCTGGCTGGCATCCTTCTCACAGGGGGAAATTTGAACACCCACAGGTCACCAGCATTGCTCATGCAGAGTGGACCCTACAGACTCACCAAGATGCCACCTGCAAGTCACCCAGAAGCCTCCAAAGAAACCAAACCTGTGCACACCTTGTCTAGGCCTTCCAGCCTCCAGCACTGAGGACTGGTCTGCTGTGTGGGCCACAGTCTGCAGTGATGTTATGACCACCCCAGTAACCTAACACAGGCGTCTAACAATTTGGGGCCATCGCAAGATTTGAGCAAAGCATCTTTTGAGTCTGGGTCTCATTTAAATTAGCATCAGTGCTTCCTCATCGACACAATCCCAGAGCTGCTATCAAGTGCCTGCTGATGAGCAAGACTCCTGGCTCAGGGGCGCTCAGCGCCTGGTTGCTGATTCCCGGGGCTGAGATGTGGGGAGGAGGTTCCAGAGGTCAAACACACATGCAGACACAGATACATCCAGTATTTATTGAGTCGTGAACCGCTGCAAACATTGCCGAAATCTGAGGCTCACTCATCCGGATCCCTCTCTTGGCTCCCCAGGGGGATGGCAAAAGGTGTGGCAAAGGAAGGGGCAGGTCCAGAGTGCAAAGCTAGACTCCGGGGGCCACACACACACCCCCACATCACCCCCCACACACAGACAAAGACCAGGGACGTCGGTATGTGCCCCGCCCGGCGGCTGCGAGAACATCAGGGAAAGACCAGGCGTCAGTGAGACATTTCAGTCCTTCCTGTCATGAAGCGTCTGCCGACCGGGGCCGGACCAAGGTCACTGGACTGTGCAGAGAAGAGGTGGGAGCAGGCTCAGCTCCCGAGGAAACTGCAGCCCCATGGAGAAACCGAGGAAGATGGGATGCCGACAAGGTGAGAAATATGGGCAGCTGGGGAGGTGCTGCTGGGTGGCATGGACCCCACGGAACACCTGCGCACAGGCCCACGGGAACCTGTTTCCAGAAAAGCTGTCGACCGAAGGGGTTTCTCTATGTCCCAGACAGACCTCTTTGCTAGTCACCCACTGGCTAGTTATCTATGGTGCAAGAGGACTCACCCTACCCAACACAGGCCTGCCTCACCCCCAGCTCCTGGGAATGCCTGCCTGGAAGAGCATCTTGGTTTACCTGGGGCCTTGGGCCACACTGGCTAGTCTAAGCTACGGTGTAACTAGGGTGGGGACCTGGGGCCATGCATCAGCAGCTCTCAACTTCTGGAGGGGCTACAGACAAAGGTCAGCCACACAAGTTAGGCATGCTTATGTGACCAAACCCCAATAAAACCCCTGGACACCAAGGCTCAGGTGAGCTTCCCTGGTCAGTGATACGCTGTGCGTGCTGTCACTCCCGACCTGGGAGAATAAGTGCCATCTGCCTGAACCCCGTGGGAGACGCCTGGAAGCTGGCGCCTGGCCTCCCCCAGACCCTGCCCGTGCCTCCTTCCCTTTGCTGACTTCAAGCTCTATCCTCTATAATAAACTCTAACCATGGGTATAAATGGTTGTAAAAGCAAATCGAGCCTGAAGGTGATCTCGGGGACCACTGAAATTGTACTTACAAAACACAGCAATGAGAACCATTCCTCCCCCTCTCTCTGGTATTCATTCCCGTTTTTTTCTCATGCTGGATGAAATCATCTATTGATGGACCTCTCCAGACTCCAAGTAAAACAACTCACGTAAACACCTTTGAGTAACTGCCAATTTGGAAGTGGCAAATGGCACGTTTATGCAGGGGGTGTGCTTCATTTAAGCCTTCAAGTATTCAAATCCTGCCAGGGTGGCCCCCACCCTCCCCTCCTTACAGCAAAAGCCCACAATTTATTCAGCTCCTGCAACTCTGGAATTATCCAATTCTTGATTTTCTGTTTTTTAAATGGGGGAGACTCACTTCATTTCAGACCTGTCCATGAGGCAAGACATTATTTGTATGTTTGTACTGCACTAACTCAATTTTGCAAGTCCCAACTCACATTGAGTGGGACCTCTCTAAACGGAACTGAGTTGAAAACATCTTGAGAACCAGTTTTCTGATGCAGAGCATTCTGGGGGCAGGTCCTTGGGTGCACAGTATACTGAGATGAGATACTCGGTTCTAGAAGGCCCTTGTAGGGGTCGGCACTCAGGTTTAGAGGGTGGCAGGGGTGCTTCTAGGTTCTGAAGTATCAGAAGCCAGAACTTGGCTCTGGACTGCTCTAGCACTGGACTGCTCTAGCACAGGTTAGGTTTGGAGCTACACTGGAACATACTGGCTTGGAAATTAGATATCAGGTCAGAAGATGCTGAAAAGCAATTATACCACCCAGAGAATACAGAAATTGCTACTTGTCCTAGGCTGTGTCAGGCTGGAGACTGGACTTAGGTTTGGAGTACATCAGAAATGACAAACTAGTGCTCAGGAGCTGGGACCCCCTCACCTCTGCCTTCAGGGCGCATTAGCCTTGAGCCAAGGCGGCTTTGATGGCCGCCACCAGCTTCAGGAACTTGCTCTCCGTGTCCACGTAGCCATCGCCTTTCTGGGGGTGGGAGGATGAGACAAGGGGTGAGCTGGGACCAAGATACCACCTCCACCCCAACTCCCCACTAGCCCAAAAACGAGGTGGGGCAGAAATACCTTCTTGGAGTGAACCAACTTCCCTGCTACCATCACTTCAAAGAAGCCCGTGGCCTGAGGAGTCCCCTCGCCGCACTGCGGAGGACAGAAGGACGCCGGAGGGCCTGAGATGCCTGAGATACCCGCCCCTTCCCAGGGGATGGAGAGCATGGCCGACCCAAACCACGCCCACTGCCACCCAGGTCTGAGGGCAGACGCGACCCAAGCCTGATTCCTTCCCTGTCCCCAAGACTCACGATGTCCAGGCACCCAGGAAACTCATCTTCTAACTTCTTCTTGAGCTGAAGATACTAAAAAAGAGGTGGAGGTGTCAACAGGGGCCACCTCTCGCCCCTCCCTGGGACACCCCTGGGCCAGCCACTCGGCTTACCTTGGACTTGTAGCCTCAAGCGCCACTGGTAGGAGAGTCCAGGGGAGAGCGTCCCGGGGAGAAGAGACAGTAGGGATCCGGGCAGGGGCAGGGGAGAGAGAATGGAGGGGCACAGGGTGAGGGGGGTGGAGCCAGAGATTATAAGGACACAGAGGACAAAACCGAAAGGGGACAAACGCCGTCAAGAGAGAAGATACAGGGTTAGTTGGAAAGCCACACAGAGACGGGGAGGCAAGGACACGGAGCATGGACACCCATACAAGGAAAACGCACAGAGCCAGGGGGACAGAAAAGGGGGTGACAAGAAGAGACCCCAAGTATGAGACCGAGGACAGAGGGAGGGAAAAGGAGAAAACTGGTTAGAATAGTAACTCCAGAAACAGCGGCATGCCGTCACTCCTGGGGCCCAAGGCCCTCCCAGTTCTGAGGACCAAATCCAAACGCCTCCTCAACCCCCACGGGAGGCTATTTTGGGACTGGATCCTGGTCACAGGCCTCCTGGGGCGAGGGGGGGCTCGCAATGTCACTCCACTCTCTGGCTGCCCGAGCAGGCCGGAGCATTCTAAAGCACCCACACTGATCTGAACCTTTCAAAACCCCTGGCTTCCGCCCTGGGCTTCTCAGACACCACAGCCAGCAGATCCAGATTCAAGCAGCCTCCACCATCTGCAGTGTGGACCTCGAGCTACTGACCTGCCTCCACCCCAGTCGCAGCCTCGGTTTCCTCACCTGTAAGGTGGAGCAAAAATTCCCTCCCTCAAGGGCTTCCTAGGAGGAGAAACGCGCTGGCCGCGTAATTATTAAGCCCCTACTGTGCCTATGCGTGCCACCACAGGCCTAGGCGGCAGCGGGGACAGAACGGTCACCAAGATAAAAAATCTCTGCCGACCTGGGACTTTTTCCTCCCAGCGGGGGAACTGGATCAAACGCGTTCAGAACCAACACAGCACTCCAGCCCGTAAGATCGCTCTCTCCCCCTCTACAGATGGGGAAACTGAGGCCAGAAAAGGAGCGGCGTTATCAGCCGCAAGGCATCTGTACATTCAACTCCCTTCCAAAAGCACGCCGGAACATTCTCGAACCTGCTCGTCGGGCTGTCCCCGCCCCGCAGTTGTTCACCGCACGGGAGGAGGGGCCCTCTGAGGGACGGAAGCTTCTCTCCGGCCCAAGCGGACCCCACCAGCCCCGCATGCTGAGCCCCGGGGTCGGCGTCCAACAGGCCGCACGTCTTCCCCAGCTCTGCGCTCTACTCCCAAGTCGTCTGAATGTCACCGAAACAGGAGGGGGCCGCGCCCTCTACGTTCGCCCTGTCTCACGCCCACCCCACCCACACAGGAGCCCCTCTTCTCGCGGAGGGTCCCCGGGGTGCGGCCCCAGCGCCCCGCGCCGTCGGGACAGGGGACGGGGTCCGTGGCGCGGGCCTGGGGCAGCCGGGCTTACCAGTAAACGACGCGGACGGCGAGAGCCATGACTCGGGAGCGCAGCATCCGCGAAAGCGCGGACGCCCAGGAGGCTCGGGGGGCAGCGCGCAGTATGCGCCCGCGGGCCGCGCGCACGGAGACTGGGCCCGGCGCTCGGCGGCGCGAACCAACGCCGGGGGTACGGAGGGCGGGCAGGCCGCACCGCGGGGCCCGAGGGGCCCTGGGCCCGCCGCTCGGGACTCCACGCCGGCCTCATCCTCTCGCCCCGTGGCTAGGGGCCGGGCGCGCCTCGGCAGCCGGAGTGCCGGCAGAAGGGCCGCGAGTCGCCTGCCGGGTCCCCCCTCCGGGCCAGAATGGTGCGGCCCGCGGGGCGGGGCTTCCCGGCGGCAGGCCCGGGTTGGAAGCGGAATTGCAGGCGAGGGTGCGGTTTGAAAAAGCGGCTCTGAGGCGGGGGAGCCAGGAGAGACGAGGGAAATGGATCCGAAAGGATTCGGGGTGGACGCGGGGGCCAGGGGTTCGTAGAAAGTGCTGGAAGCTGGCTTCTCGTTGAGGCGCAGGCGCGTCTCTTTAAGCCTCAGTTTCCCCGTCTGGAAGATGGGCGTAATCGCCTTCAGAGACCGTAGACCCGTTTAACAAAGACGTACTGTACACCCTGCAGCCCGGGTTCTGAAGTTACAGCGATGAAAAAATGGCCAAAAGTCCTTTACCCTGTGGGAGTGAGCTGGGAGGAGAGGAGGTGGGGACAAGGGGTATGACGCAACATGAACACAGCCCTTCCCTTATGGGGTTGATGCGCGTGTAAAATGAGTTCGTACATGTTGAAGGAACGAGCACGCTGGCACATGGGTCCACCTCAGTAATGGTGAACGCGTCGAGGGCTTCCTGCCCCCAGCTTCTGCCCTCGCCCCCTGGGTCTTGGTTCACCTGCTCTAACCGTGCGCTAACGCCTTCGGGGCGTCTCCATCCTCGGGCATCCCTTAGCTGAAACCCTGTCTCAGGGCAGGTGAAGACCAGCTTCAAGTCCCACCCCACCTCTGCTGGGGGCGATATGACCTCTGATCCCGCTGGTCCTGGAAGGGCGTGATGCGCTTGCGACGCAGAGCACCTGACACGGGGCTGTGTGTGGTCACTGTCCCCACCTCCGCCTCATCTTCACACGGCTTCTTCCTGTGTGCGCCTCTGTGTCCAAATTTCCCCACTTGCTAGGGACTGGCAGCCATGTCGGATTAGGGCCCACCCTCCTCCAGCGGGACCTCTTCCTAACCGATTTACTCTGCAGAACGCGATTTCCAAATAAGGCCACATTCGGAGGTACTGAGGATGAGGATTTCAACATAAGAATTTAGGGGAGGGGACATAATTCAACCTAGAGCAAATCATTCAGTTACCTGATGCTTGCGGTCTGTTCTACAACTCCTGTGGGTTGTAGATGAGTAACAGCAGTGCAAAATAGTTCTTCTCTACAGAAATGTGAGTGAATTCTGTCTCCTTGGAAGGGCAACTTTGCTTTAGTCTATTTGAGCTGCTCTAACAAAACAGCATGGACTGACTAGCTTAGAAACAACACAAATGTATTGCTCACAGTTCTGGAGGCTGGAAGTCTGAGATTAAAGTGCCTACATGGTCAGGGGACAGCCCTTTTGCTTCATAACCTTTTCACTGTGTCCTCACATGGTGGAAGGGACTAGGAAGCTCTCTGGGGTCCTTTTTATAAGGACGCTAGTCCCATTCATGAGGGCTCCACCCTCATGACCTAATCACCTCCTAATACCATCATCTTTGGAGGTGAGGATTTCAACATGAATTCTGGGCGGACACAAACTGTCTTACCAGTGGGTTTCAGCCCCAGACAAGTTTACTATGTATTCAATGAGACCAAAGAAATGACAGTGGAACTTTCTTGGAGTGAAAGCGTTTACACGCAACTTTATTCCCAAGATGGCAGGTCAATCACTAGAATCCTGTCCACTCAGAGGGAGTCTGCATGCAGCAAACCAGTCTCTGCCTCTGGGCCTCTCTGCCCAGCAGCCGTCTCAGTCTCTGTCCTCGGTTCTGCTCTCCTGCAGCCATGCTACCCTGTAGCGCAGGTCACTGGGCGGGGCTCTTTATATGGAGTCAATAACAACGTATCATCCACACCTGTGGAGGGAGCTAGCGCAGCAGGGCCAGGTGACAAGCCTGGTCATAGGAATCTTCAGTTTATCCACACATTCAGACTAAAGGACCTCCCCAAATGGTTTGCCTCCATTTGAACATTTGTTTTCAGGATTCCTGATCTGTAAGTATATCGTAATGATTCTCCTTTGACCTGGTTGTAACACCTCACCGATGTTAAGTCAAATCTTTAACACGTGTTCACTTTTAGATCTGGTATGAGTCATGATTTTCCCTTTTTTTCCGAAAATCATCTTGTAACAATACCGTCCTCGAGGAAGTCCTCCTTGGCTCCTCGGACTGGGCTGGGCTGGGGTCCCCCTGAGCCACCCTCCACTGCCCCAACCACCCTGCTCTGCTGGGGTCTGGTGCCCCCACTGACTTGCCCAGCAGACCCAGCGAGTGGCCACGCACAGGGCAGAAGCTTAGAGGATGTTCTGTTGACTAGGCTGAGGGCTCAGAACTTGCCAGAACTTGCCAGGAGCCTCAAGTGAAGAGACACACGCCCCTTCCGGCACTGAGAACAAAGGGGTCTCTGTTGCCTAGAAGTGGGAGAGGCTGGAGGAATAAGTAATTATTCTTGGGCTGGAAATCTCTCTCTGTCTCATAAACACACGCACAAACACACACACCAAGGGTGCTTGCTCTCACCTGGGTACACAACTGCACATCCAGGAAAGGCACAGCCCAGCCAGAGACAACACAACAGCACATACCTCTGTTCTGCCACATAAAGAGCCCCTGCAACAGCCCGGGCGGCATCTCCCCACCACATCGGCAGGTGGGGAACAAGACGGCAGCCACCCCTCCCGGCCGCGTGGTGGGAGACCCCAGCATATCCCACACACAGGAGAGTAACGCACACATATCCACCTAGGTACATGACAGTCACCCCAGGATCCAGCTCCCTGGGACACAGAGACAAAGCACACACTACCGAATTTGGTCACAGTTCTTGATATACAACAGCACAGCTGCAGGCCTAGACAAGACCGTTAATGCCGACTGGTGTGTTCCCCAACACACAGCAACACAAGTCCATCTGCAAGAGACACAGTAACGCTGGCATACACCCTCATGCAGGGACAGTCACACAGTGAGACTGTGCAGCCGCACTGCTTCACTTGGAAGCAGACGTTGGCACGCAACAGCAGAGCTACGTGTGCACACGCGCACACACACACACTCTACATTAACACAATAACCCAGGCACACCCCCACACAAACTCGCTTGGCACATTTGGACATGGCCCCCATAGCACGACAACACATGCAGAGCCACACAATGCCTCTGACACACACATACTGAGACGCTGCCGCCCAGTTACACAGCGCATGGACTCCCTCCCACAGCCACACAGTGGGCCCTGCCTAGGGCCAGGGCACACGCAGTAAGCAGATGTGGTCCCTGAATCCTGGGGCTCGTGGGATGATCTGAGAGATGGACACAGGAAAACATACATAACTATGTATTTGTGAGGGCGTAGGGACTGTTGGGGAGAAAAAGAAAGAAAGCCGGGAAGGGTGGTGGGGAGTGTTGGGGTGGGGAGGTTGTAAATAGACCAGGGAAAGCAGCTATATTATTCATAAGAGTAGCCAGCACTTAAAGAGTCATGAACTATGATTAGCCCATTTTATGGGTGGGCAAACTAAGGCACTTGCCTGCGGTCACATAAAGCCCAGAGCGTGGCTTTGAACCCGGCTGTCTGGCTGTGAAGCCTGCACGTTGAGCCACCTTCCTATGGGCAACATGGAGAAAGGTGGGGGCAGACTGGTTGGGGCGGGGAGGTGTCAGGAACCCAGAATGTTCCGAGGGCTGAAGCAGGCCTGGACTTCTGAGAGGCCAGGAGGCCCAGTCTCTCCTCATCCCCGTCCCAGGGAAGATGCTGCACTGGGGCTCTGTGTCCAATCTGGTGCCCTGGAGGGTAACAGGGCCCTTCCTGCTCTTGAATATCTTTAGCACGTGGGCACAGGTGAGGTGTGCCTCCCTGAAGCTGTGGCCCCTCGCACCCCCCACCCTAGGGGGACGGGACCCTGAGCCCCTGCAGACTGAGCCTGTCTGGGGAGGACTGTCTCCACCATTCATGGGACCAGCCTGTGCAAAGACCCATTTTTTACTGGGTTACTTCTCTTCTAAATTACTAAGTTCTTTACATATTCTGGATACAAGCTCCTTCGTTAGATATGTTTGGCAAACATTTTCCCAGTCTGTGGCTTGCCTTTTCATTTTTCCAAGTGTCTTTTGAAGGGCAAAAGATTTTCATTTTGATGAAATACAATATATTTTTTCTTTGATTATACATCATACTTTTTGTGTGTATCAACGTCAGTAGGGCGGCTAAGATGTCCTCTTATGTTTTCTTAAGTGTTACAGTTTTAGCGCTGGTTTTAGCTCTTCCGTTTTAGTTCTTAGGGTTTTTTTTTCCTTATCCGGCTTCTCTTTCAAATCAATCACTGACGCTTGGCCTCTAGGAGATCAAGATTAGCCTGCAGGCATCAGGGGAGGAAGAGAGGTTGGTGTGAAGATTACACTTAATTTAGCAGATTCAGGCCTACTATCCTTAGAAAGGCCTGTTGGCCAGGTTGCCCCTTGCCTTTTGCATCAGGGAAATTGGCTGATAAACATTTCCTTCCCCTAATACAAAACTTCCCTAAATGATAAGGAGGCTCACTGTGCCTGGGCTGTTTGTACAAAACAGTATGGTTTATGCTGACACCTGCTGTCCTGGAAGTCTGGAATTTGGGTCCATGCTAGACAGAGTGTGCCTGTGGGACCAGGCCCCTCAAAACCCCGTGGGTCCTGAGTCCCTAATGGGCTTCCCTAGGCAGGAACATCACACACCCCTGCTGCAGTTTGTCGCTGAGGCAGCCTGCTCTGTGTGACCCCTCCCGAGAAGGTCCCAGCATCAGGACGCTGTGCGCGGATTCCTCCAGACTTCGCCCTTTCTATGTCACCATACTAAACCCACTATATAATGACTCCCGTGGGGCCTTCTAGCAAATCCCAGAACACGGGGGTGGCTTTGGGACCCTGGCACACCTGGTCACTCCGACCGGACCCCAAGGGGAGGTGGGAGGAAGAATATGGAAGAAATCATTAAAGCACAAAGCATCCCA